AGTCAAGAGTAATCAAGTAATAATCATCTTGACTGTATGTCCAAAATACTTTCACATATATTCTCTCTATCTTAATTCGTCGAAATTATAGTAACCACAAAGTAATCATATTTCAGGTACCACTACCTAAACCAGACGTCTAGTTAAAACAGTTTTGGGACATCAACATCATAACATGTAACCAGTTAGCCACTTTATACTAAACTGGTAAAAGGAACAAAAAGATACATGTTTCTTCATTTTAATTCCAAAATACTCAAAGCTTCATCCGATGGAAAATGTCCCAAAACACATAAATTTGTCACCCAGTTAAAAATCCTTTTCCATAAAAAGATGTACCTTAGTCACCTTTTATATCTATGACTTGGGAGACAAAGACACCTTTGATTTTACCTTTGTTGATCAGTTAAAAGAGTAATTAATTTTTAAGTTTTTGTGGGTTGATGAATTTAAATCTTAATAATGTTTTTGTTCACATGTTAATTATTACTATGATGTACTTGGTCTATTATTAAACAAACATTTAAAAACAAAACCTTTACATTCGGTCAAATTTCAACACAGAATATATATTAGGCCTTAAAAATTAATTGTTTAGGTAAACATAAATTCAGTTTAAATGTTTTGAAAAATAAATCAGGTGTAATTATTTCCGTTGAAAAGAATGAATTTTTGTAACCTTTTGCAGTGTAGAAATAACTAATATCATATTAAAATCCCATATATTTGCAGGCCTTTTTTTCTATTTTGTAAATAAATACGTTTTAATTAAAATATTATTAAATTATTTTATATTTACTCTTCAACTCATAAGAGAAAACAGTTCGAGGTATATTTTTTATTGGAAAAAAAATTCATTAAAATTACAATATTTGAATCAAGCACATGTTCCAGCACAAGATTCATATACACAAGAAGTGGCAGTTATATACCATAACAGATTGCTATTAATTATGACTATCAACATCAAGAGAGCCAAATTAAAATTAAAAACTTTTTTTAGTTTCCAAAATTAAATATTCATATATAAACTGATCGTATTAAGTTGACTTTAATTCTTAGACTAAGATATATTTGCCTGTATTTTGTGTGACACTAGTGGGTATACACCATATCATACATCATTTACATACAAAATTTATATTACACAACAATAAAATATAAAAGTTTCTAAAATGATGGCCTAAAAAATAAAAAGAAAAAACTCTTCACTACAACCTCTAAAATTATCTCTTCCTATATCGCATATAGGAATATAACAGTTCGCACAAACACATAAAGAGATGAAATAATTTAGAAAGAATTATCATATAATATGATACACATAAATCATACACATCATACCATTAACATACTATTTACACAACCCACCACATATACAAGCATGTTATGATAAGTAGATCAAATGTGCATCAAAATCCTTACTTTCAAAGTTCATACTTGGAGGATATCTCTGAAGAAGATAACAATCTTATATGTATACAATATTTTTAGATTGATTTATACATACGTTGGGGTGCCAAAAAAATGTAAAATAAAATAATAGTAATAGTTATTATTATTATATATTTGTTGATAAAAAAAACTCGGACTTTCCTTAATAAGGACACATGGTATGTTTTCTAATATGGAAAATTAGTGTAATGCTAAAAAAGAATAACTTTGTATTAATAAATTTAACAAATTGAGGATAATTAGAATTATTTACTGTAAATTACATTTGAATGTAAATTAATAACTAAATATAAGAAGAATAAAAAAAAAAAACAGAAAGTGGTCAATGGTCAGCTGCGGTAGATAATCCACGCCGATTTCTTTGTTTCTTCTTTTATTACCTTTTTACCCATTTTGTTGCTTTAAGTTACATGCATGCTATACTATCAATGTTCGAGCGTACATTTAAGTCTAAAAGTATTCTGTGACAGAACTTCTTTTCTAACTTTTCTTCTAAATATACTTTTTTACCGATTGTAAAAACCTTTCCAACATCTATTTTATTGGTAATTCAAAATAAAGACTAAACTTTCCCTGTCTTGTTTGAAATGTAAGCTATATGATTGAAACACCTTAGAAAACATTTTCCAAAGCGTGTTGGAAACTTAACCTCTTGTATATTATTCTTTTCTCAACTTTGGAAAAGACTCATCAAATTGTTATAAATATATAAAAAAATGTGAATAAAGAATAAAACTTATAAACTGATAGAAAATTGTTTATTTCAATGTGGTACGTAGTTCATTAAGCCAATGTTGTTTAGTCTATTAGGATCATTTTCAATTGGGTCATGAAGTTAATGATGAATGTTAAACTTTGTTAATGTTATGACGAAGGATCTAAGCAGAGTGTAACTTTACTTGTGAAATTCAAGTGAAACTTTCGATAGTTACTTGTAAAGATTCTCAATAAGATGCAACACATTTTTTAGAGACAAAAAATTGTGTTTTTCTTCCAAATTTGATAAAGATGTTTAAGACAATTAATTCAAGAATTTTCAAGATACAAAACTTGTTGGTTAAAAAAATATTATAAGGTTAGTATTATAACTTTATTATGTATATTATGAAACATTGATGGGTGTTTCCACTGGTGAAATTTCATAATTAATAGATGGGTAACATTTTAAATTCTTTAAGTGGAAATAATCTATTTTTTATAAGGTTTATATATTTATTTTGTAACCTTATAATGGACTAAGGATAAGAGGTTGTGTGAAAATAGGTAAAATGCCGATTGATTAATTAAACCCAATATTGTTTAGTGGATAATTTTCGATTGGTTCGTCAAGTTGATTCTAAATATTAACCTGAATTTTTTTATCTTCTTAAAGTTATGATAAATAGTGTAATTAATCTTAAAATAAAAAGAAAAAAATAATTTTAAAGACTCTTAAATTCTCACAAATTAAAAATTAAAGAGTCGGGATCACAGTGTAAACAAAGAAAAAGAAAAGTTTAAATTATTTTTTCTCTTTTCCCATGTCATATGATTTAGTTAAAAAAGAAAAAACATTTGCATGAAAACTTTGTAATATTAATTTGACCAATCAGGATTCCAGTAATCATACTTGGTACTCAAAGTCTAAAGGTTGAATTTTGCCGAAATGAATATACATTAATTTTCGTGCTACGAAACATTTTCCTCTCATTTACAGCATCTTTTTTTTTTTTCTAAAGAAAAAGCCATCGAATTAACATAGGAAAAGTAGAGTAAAATTATCAACTAGTTGATTAACTCCACCTCTAAAAAGCTAAATCATACGTGTTTTTCTCTGTTTGTTTGTCTGTTCGTTTAACTTTTTAAGTGATAATAAAACGAAAGGAGATTGTTAAATCACTTTTTTTCCTCATAATTATGAGTAAAATTGAAAAAGAAAACTTTAAATATACAAATTTATCGATCAACGCTATGTTATATACTTTTATGATGTTTTCTTATTATGATGTTTATAGAAGACTTAATCACATTTGTACCCATCAAATATTGAAATGATGGGATTTTCGTATTGTTTTAATTGTGTTAATAAAAAAATTTAATTATCTGAATTTATAATTACTTTTTGAGGATTTGATTCGATGCTTGTTTAGTGTATTTTTAGTGAACCAAATAACTTTGATGTGGATTTTTGTGATAATAGAACTGGCAAACAAACTGTTTTTTTAATCTCTAAATTAGAATATTTTAATTTAAGATTTTATAATTAACATAATTTAGGTGTAAAAACTATTTACATTATGGACAAATTTTAAGAATATACTTAATTCACTAAATTGTCTTTTTATATGAATATTAGTTTAGAATTTATGTATTTCTCACCGATAATTAATTGATGTGAATGAAAATATTGTCAAAGATGAACTAAAACATAATATGTTTAACGAGAAAATAAGTAAACCAAAAAGATAAATTCAAAAAAGGTAAAATGTAAGGAAAATAAATTGTCAAAAATTAAAAAAAGAAATTGATAAAAGAAATTAACCAAAACATTTGACTCAAATTGTTACAATTATCATGACTAGAGTTGTCATTATTCTTTGTGATCATTATCTTTGTGATGTTTTTAGAATATTTTTGTTATAAATATAATTTGTTATACTTTTTTTTATCATAACTAATAACTTATTTATATTTTCCTATCATTTCTTTTACAGTTAAGTCAAAATAAAATAAAAAAGAAATACATAATAATTAGAATAATTGAAAAAAAAACCATCCCGTTGCATCAGTTGCTTTTACTTAATATTTCCTCTTCCTTTGTGTAACTTCTTCAATTTTTGTCTCATGAATTTTTTTGATACACTTTGAGTTTTCAATTATCTCATAATTTCCACTCCTGACCTGTTTCAATATCCTATACACTCATCCATTCCTTACTCTTTTCTTTGATTTCTTTATTATTTCTCTTCTATTTAATTACTATTTTCTTAATTTCGATACCCTCAAGACTAGTTTTATCCCTTAGAGAATGTTTGTGTTCAAAATGTTATTATTTAAAATTTTGTTTTTAGCTAAATTTTAGAATAGTTGGTTAGATTTAAACATTTTGAAATTTTAAAACATTGAAAATATAATTAGTCACTAGAATGAAATTTACCAAGTGTCACCATTAGAACGAAATCGAAATAAATCTTGTTATAATCTCACTTTCTCGAGAATGACCATCACCCAAGAATATTTTCTTAGAACTCCAGACAAATTAAAGAGTACTACATTCTCAAATTTATATTCCTGGAATAATAGATTTGACCTTCATCAAACAAAAGCACCCTTAGATTCTAAAATGGCATGCGTGATCTAGACCAAAAGTACAATTATATTTATGAAACTGAAAGCAAAGTAAATATATTTATTATCTTAAAAAAAATTATAACAAGAGTTTTTCCAACAGATAAAACAAAAACAGATGAGTGGGAAGATGATATAACTTGAGACAACCATTCAATCCATTTTATATAATTGATTGACATGTTTTATGAACACAATAATATCTGGAGTATAAATAACAGAAGTGGTATTTTTTTCTTTTTTCTGAGATTAAATACAGAAGCAAAGACAAAAAATGACTAAATGATCCAGAGAAAATCTCAACAAAACACATAATCAACTGGTATGAATTTGGTTACGTGTGAAGTTGAGATCAACCAAGAACATGAACATGTGACAATCTCAGACTATCAAATAATTTCAACCGATACTCTTCGTACACACAAATATGAAGATTGAAACGTTGACGAAAGAAAATGATGCATTAGGTTTAACTGATTAGTTTGGTTGCATAGAAGGCGCGACTCTCCCAGAAGCAGAATTGGCAGAACTGTAGAGAAACTGAGAAACAATGGAGGCACAGGGTTTCGCCACCATGTTGTTCCAAGCCTCATTGGCGTCGCGGCCACGTTTCTGAAACACGGGCGTGGCGCAAACGCGGTGGATCTTCCACCCCTCACTTCGGAGCATGTGGATTCTCCCAAGTTGCTTGCGTGCCAAGTCGCACGTGTTCCCCTTCACGTCCCTCACCGCCTCCTGCAGCAGCCTCATCCTCGTCTCACCGCTTGCCGTCGTCTCCCGCCGGAAGTACGGGTGGAATTCAGAAACCCCAATTGCCTTCCTTATCCCACGCGTGTAATCGCCGTTCACGTTGAAGAACGGTCTCAACTCGTTCACCATTCCACATCGGAGCATGTGGTCCACGCGCTGCCCCACGTAGGAATAGAGCACTGGCACGGACACGTCGACCCACAGAAAGCACCACTCGAACCGCGGCCCGAACCTATCCACCAGGGCCTCCATGTACGAGTTGGATCCTCCCACCACTATCGGAACCTTGTCGCGGCGCGTTATAGACTCGATGGCGCGTGAAGCGGCGTCGCAGAAGTCGGAGGCCGTGAACTCGGTGTCGGGGTTCTGCGTCCCCAGGAGGTGATGTGGGACCCCACGCTGCTCCTCTTTGGTGGCCTTGTTGGTGACAATCTCAAGCCCTTCGTACACTTGCATTTTGTCAGAGTTTATGATTTCTGAGGGAAAACATGTTGCTAAGTCCACCGACAACCTGGTTTTCCCGCTCCCCGTTGCTCCCATGACCAGCACCACCTTCTCTTTTGGCCTCATCATCTGGCTTTGTCCACCGGAAGGAACGTTTTTCAGAGCCTGATGTGTTGGTCGACACATCACTGACATAGTCATGCTCGTAAAAGGGTCAGAAATTAAACTAAGTGAGAGTGAGAAAACAAGAAGAATAAATTTATTTAGTTTTATAATGCATATATCACGTATGTTTAAAGTTTTTGAAAAGAAACCTAGTCATGAAATGTGAGATTGAAAACATTGGTTGTTGCTTGTATTTATAGGTGTAAAAGGGATGAAATATCACTCTCTGCACCGATTTTTTGAAGATTGTAAAAGAAGGTCTAGGAATAATTATCAGTGAAGATATGGTGGTCATCACAATATATTCCAATGTTTAAATTCGTGGCGCGGTCTCTCGGGTCAAACCCATATCTTCCCTTTTCAACTGCATGTTGTTATCAGGTCAGAGATTTTCAAGCCTGATATTATTAGGTAAAAGTATTTATTTCCTGTTTTTTGAAAAACAAAGAGAGAGAGACATTGATTTGTGGTGAGATGAAAGAAACGAAACAAAACATGATGTTCTCTGAGGAGGAAGGTAGCTAATTAAGGTGTCTGCAAAAACATGAGTGGACCGTGAGAGCACAAGGTTCTTTTTCTTTCTTTCTATAGGGTGGGGCTGTATAAGTAGTAGAGCATAAAATTGTTGTGATAAGATCTTGGTATTCGCTTCTTTTATTATCTGGAGATTTTGTCTCTTATACACGTATAGGAGTTTGAGCTTGCTTAGCATCTTGCTCCTATCTCAAAAGATTATACCGAGATAGCCTTAAAATATATGGCCTTTTACTCGATCACGACACAGATTCGATAGACTTCAAAACACTGTGCGTTTGTATAAATCAGAAATACTTTAGTTACCACTTTTTTTGGGTGAATATGTCGGAAGAAACCTAGCTATAGCTCAAGTGATTTCAAGTAAAATTCAATGGTACGGATGGAATATTTATCTAAGGACATTCGTTTCTTTTATGATACATTTACGACGTTGATATTTTGAATAACTTTTAAACGATTAGGAACAGTGATCCAGTCAATTATTGAGCTACTATTACACACGTTATTGAATTCTTAAACCAGGTTAACTCAATTGTTACAAAATGAAATTTCTCTTCACATATATTTAGACACCAAATATGTGGTCCTGGGTTCATAAAAATGAGAAAACCCAAATGACTACTGCAGCAGGAAATTGCTTATGCAAGTTAATTAACTGTATTAAGAACAAGTTTTAATATACAAATGACTGAATTGATTGATCAGTGATCCTGTAAAACAAAACAATGGCCTTTGCAAGACTTTGTTCTGATCAAAGTACGATTACAATTAGGCTAGTCATCAAAATGGTACACAGAAAGTCCTAAATAGCCTTTGCAGTTGCAACTGTGATTTCATTACTTTACTACTTACAAGAAGTAGATACTTATCCGTGCAGAAATATTACAGGCAAAGACACACTTCATTCATCCATCTGCATTCTATATTCAGCACGTGAGCATGATTTTGGTATTAAATGAGACAATGTGAGTGGAACATGTTTTCTGTTTCGGGGAGATGCACTTTGGTTACCAAGGAAACCACAAGTTCATCAACCATCAAGTCTTTGGTTCTGATGTCGGGAAATTCAACACACATAGATATACGTGAGACCATGATTCATTTGGCTGAAAACATTGTCTATCATGAGTCAAGAGTTCACAGATTTACTTTTTAATACTATTTCAAAAAAAACCTTCTACCAATAAAAATATTTTATTTATATATAAATTTACGTGCATCTCTTATTTTTATCTAAGTTAGAACTTGTTTGTATTCTAACATCTAATATATATTTACTTATATCTTAGAAGTCTTTCAAAAAATAATGTATCGAAAAAATTAAAAACTATTAAAATTTAATAAAATTCATAAATAATTTTATCTTTAATCTAAAATTTTAAAACAATAAAATTTATAACTTTTTTCGTGCTTAACTTTTTCATCTTTTATCAAGTTGACTATTACTCAAATTTATGTTCCAACAATATCAACCAAATTTTGCGGTCTACAAGACATTTTTGGGACATAATCACATGTGTGTAAGGCTCGAAGTGAAGATGTGAACTTTTGCATGATGGCACCGAAATAGATAAATTGGGACAATAGCCTTTCATGTTACATTCCTATACATGGTGCCCCACAATTGTTTCAGGATGGCCCCAGTATTCCAACTGACAGAAGTGTAGTTTATAACAACACAACAACGTGGTTTGCTTCAACATTCTCTTCGACTCATTTTCTCACCTCAAACATATTCTTCATTTGACTCAGAGTATAACTGTTACATGGTTTGTCGCCGGAACAGGGGAAGAACAGAGATAGTAGCACCGCTTGTCTTGAGATGTTTGAAAACGCAGGATTTGGAAACAAGCACAAAATGTTACAAGCAAGATGATATTTTAACACCCTAAAGACTTTTACACTCATCTCAGACTATCTTTTAATTTCTCTTTTTCTTTATAAAAATAAAAATTTATTTTTTAAATCATTGCTTTACTCCTAAAAATAGTTTGTCAAATGAGTCACGTAAATGTCAAAATATCATTGTGCATGTTACAAACACAACTCAATGGACTACAAAATATAACCTTTTTCTAGTGCTTCATAAATAAACACATAACATATCACTTGTTACCATATTTCTTTACTCAACAAGATTAGATTTATAGGGATGGTCTAAAGTTGACAATATTTATGATGGATATTCATCAAAGTTATGCATTGATTAATAAAAGAAAAGAGAAAATAGAAAATTACTATTCAAACAAAAGTTAATTTGAATGTTATCATTACACTTTAATAAATTTCTTAATTATAAATATTTGAATATTAGTTGTGAGAAGATTTATTATTTTATGATTATGAATATTGTATAAAAGACTTAGTATTTTCTCTTAAAATTTCATGTTAAAATAGTTTTGCTGAGTCTTTTCAGACGATGTTAAATATACTTTTGCTAAAAAATTACTTTTCACTATGAGATCGCTACAATTTCTCACCATGTTATATATTCAGCCATAACTAATTAACTTTATTTATATAAATATGTAAAAAAATGGAAATAAGTTTAATTCAAACAGAACGTGAGTTAGATTTATTTTAAAATGAATTATAATTTTTCTTTATATTTAATCTATGACATAACTCCATTATATCTATTACATCGAATAGTAATATTTTGAGTAACATAATTTGAATGAAAATATTTTTATTTTTATTAACTTATATTTGTTAATATTTTCTATTTTTAAATTTAAAATAACTTAGATAAAAATAAGTAATAAAAAAATAGATAAAAATATGATGAATTTAAAATTATGAAATATTTGTACGAATTAAAATCATATAAAATAATAACACAAAGTAAGTGAGTGAATACAAATATTTTCCAAAACACATATAAACTTTAAAATGAGAGATTTGAATAGAATTTAAAAATTTTCCCAACTAAGTGTCATACACTAGAAAGTCTCCAAGTATTATTGAACACTTAAAGATTTTCATAAGTGTTTGAAAAGCTTTTTAAAAAGAAAACACGGATAAGACACATTTTTCTATTGGCTCACTTCAAACTGAGTTACGTCCAATTCTTTTTTAAGCATTCTTGAGAGGTTTTATTAATATTTAAAAGATTACAAACGAATTTGATCACTCTTGATTTTACAAACTAACCTAACTAGTTATGCGAGTTTCACCATTTCTGGTTTTATACTAATCCAACTGACTATATCGTTTAACTCCACTGAATTAAACTAACAAGTATTTTAATTCACTTATGAATATACAAACTAACATAGTGTTTTTGAAATACAAGACCAAATGATTACTCTCTTAGAGAAGATATAATTTTAATAGAATAAAAATTTGAAAACTTTGTAGCAAAAATTTTCTTTTTGCAAAACAAAAATCAAACTATGTAAGCTTGAGAGAAAATAAAGATTGTGTGAGAACAATAATAATTCTTGATTTTTGTTATCTTTTCTTCATGCAATCCTCTTTATGTAGACTTCTTCATAAAAGATTTATTACTCATAACATTGACTTTCTTATATATGTGTAGCTTTTTGGTGCGAAGTTAGATGTTATGTTACTTCTAGCAAGTCAATTGTGTTGCTTGTACGAAAGTGTCACATAAAAGGTATTAGGAAAAAATTCCCAACATATCTTCCTATCTCTTAATGTTCTTATGATCCAATGCAAAACTTTTAAGTAAAGATATCTACTTTATGATTTGCATAGAAAAGGAGAACACAACACAATAGCACAATAGACAATAAATTATTATATCGTACAGACATTAAAAACATTAGCGTTTAGATAAAATCTGATTGAATAACATTTAACGTCTAGAATAGCTTTTAACACACGCTTTATCATAGAAAGTTCATTTAATAGACTTATTTTATTAAGCAATTATGTTAAATTTCAAAACAATGTTTGTTTAGATAATATTATCTTAATATTGTTTAATAATCAATTTTACAATATTAAGATAATCAAATAGGAAGATAGTGTGTAAATATTTTAAAAGGTTAAGATAATCAAATAGTAAGATAATGTGTACAAATCCAGAAAATCCAATTCATAGGGTTAACAGAGTTTATTTTACTTTATAAAATTATATCAAAACTTATTTTAATATGATTAGTTGGACTCTAAACCATAAATCGTATCACCAATTACATTTATAGTAAATATTTAAATATATAAAAGAAATTTTATATATACATTTGTTTTGGTGATAGTTTGTGTGTCAGTAGAAATATGTGTTTGTATGTGTATATGTAAAAGTTTAGATTGACTACAAATAGGTATAAGTTGTATCACCCTTTTAAATTGAATCCACATGAAATTCTAAGAACATTTTCGTTATATCTCATCTCAATTTTAAATTATTGAAATGGACTTCGTTTATTTCAGTTTATTCTTTTGTAAATAAATTAATAATTACTAATATTCATTATTCACTTAATGAAATGAAACACAAATTTAACATTTATAAAATGTTAAAAAATCAATAAATATAAAATTTTAGGTTAAATAAGTTTTC